GGCTGTCACCGGCGGCTGCGCGCAGGAGCCGAGTTTTAATTCAATTTATTTTTTTTTTTTTTTTTAACGCTTCCTTCATAACATCAACAATTAATTATTATTTGCCTATTCATTTGGCTATATTTTCTTTTCTGTTGCTTTCTTTTGTTTAACATTGATCATGTTTCACCCTGTTTTTCATTCCCCCCTGTCTGCAATCAACTTCTTCATTCCAATAAGGCTGGGCACAGAGTAAGTTTACTCCTCTTGGCTGTTGCTAACACCGGTGGTAAGGGCTTGGTAACGTTATGAGATGGTACCAATGTCAGATGGTTCATAGGAATCAGGAGCTGTGGTTCAAACCACGCTCAAGATTGCACCTAAATTCCTAGTTAAAGCCAGATATTGTAACATTCTTTGCCGCTTTTTTATGTTGCAGATACCTGTGATTATTAAACACACTTCAGTGCTTTTAATTTGTTTGCTTTATTGTCGCTTGCCGAGCTTTTCTTTAATTAATGGCAGCTCAGGCGTGGGGGAAGATACTTCCAGTTTGTCAGCAAAGGAAGTGGTCTCTGTGGAATGCAGAAACTTTGCTGACTTCAGTGGGGTTATGTGTTTTAAGTGGCAGTATAATGTTAAACATGAAATACATAACTGGTATTGCATGTCTAAGTCCCTTAAGCATCAGTAAGAGAATCTATCTATTGCCACTTTAATAAACAGAAGTGCCACTTTAATAAACAAAATCACACGCATTTTTTACTTGCATTTAAGTATATCATCTTTAGACTGATGCTAGTGAGGGTGTTTTTCACTGGAAACTCTTCAAAGGCCATCAAAAATGTGTCTTGTCTTTTTTTTTCCTGGGTTACTTTTCAACTGGTAGCTCATTAATTAAAAAGCTCCTATACTGCTTTACCGACACCTTCAAGCATCTATTCTCCAAAGATGCATGGCTTTGATGATGACACTGACACATTGTTAAACTAAAAAGACCTAAAACCAAATAAAAAACCCACCCAAGTTCCCCTTGCCTTTGTTGATGACTGTTGGCTTGAAGATAGCTACATGGCCTAAAAATTTAAAAAGCAGATACTAAAAAAGGTAATTTCTTAGCATAGTTACTACTGCTTATGTATATATATATATGGGTTGGGTCTCTTACAAACACATTGATGGTTGTCATTTAAGAATTGTCTTACTAACAAAGCATTATGGTTGGAAGATAAACTGTCCCTTTTTACGATGGAGCTATTTATCAAGTTAACAGGGATAGACTGTCTCTAGATCCAATGTTTTTGCAGTGTAGTGGCACAACACCCCGTGCTTCATAGAGCTTTTCATGCCCTTTTTGCATAATTAATTTATTGCTATGTTGCTCGCATTAATTATTTCTTTATTTGCAGATTTAAAGCCTGTAATATTAAACTATAGTCTCACTTAATCTGAATCCTTAATTTCGAAGCCCCCATTAAATTTGTATACTCCTTGCATCTATTGTACTGAATCCATGAATATATAGAACTGGTAATAGAACCAGCGTGTGCAATCGTCTGGCTTATCTTCGCTGCAGTGCCCTGGGGTTTTTTTAAACTGTTATTCTGTTGTTCAGTGGTTCCTACAATATGGACTCTGAACAAGCTTCCTATTCTGGTCAGCTATTAACACACGTTGCAAATTTGCTGCCTCTTTTTTTTTTTTTCTTTTTTGTTAATAAGAAAGAAAACAGAGGTTAGTTAAAGTATAAAGAAACTTGAAAGAAGAATTTTAAAGGGAAGTGGCCACAGTTAGCCAGGTCTGTGCTTGAGAATGGACTGGAGATGTCCGATATCATTTTTTTGGATGTTTAAGGAGGAGAAAAAACAAAAGTGGGACAGTTTATGGTAGCTCCCAAATTTGTGCAAAATACATCAAGTAGTAACACATTTCTTTTGTTATACTTTGCTGTGGCTTTGAGCAACAAAACGAAAAAAAAATAAAAATTCTGTAGACAGTTGTGTTTGTAAGGCTCCCCCTCTGTTTAATGCTCTACGTTAGTAAGGGCCCTTGTTTTCCCTCAATATGGCAATATTCCATCACCATTTCATTCTTACTTTAGTAGTTTTTATATGAAAACGCAAAGTTATGAAACTGAAGAAAACATTGCAGTGCTTTCTATTTCCTAATGATTCTTAATAAGTGTCTGTAACGATCTTTCCTTCCTGTCATGACACCTGCTAAGTTGGTGTTAGTATTAGGAGATCTTCACATTCCGCATCGATGCAACAGCCTCCCAGCCAAATTCAAAAAACTGCTGGTTCCAGGAAAGATCCAACACATCCTCTGCACAGGAAACCTCTGCACCAAGGACACTTATGACTACCTCAAGACTCTGGCTGGGGATGTTCACGTTGTCAGAGGGGACTTCGATGAGGTAGTGTCTTCTCTCGAGAATGATATTTTTTGTGCATCTTTGACATAAGGGCAACATTTGGGTTATTTGTAATTCAAGGAAAAGTGGGCGAACCGAGGTTTTGTAGCACTAAGCACATGTGAAAAGCAAACGGGGCAAAAGAGTTGGGGTTGCAATCAATAATGTGAATTGCACAGTAAGTTCTCATCTGTCATCAGTACAAATAAAAGTAATTTGTGTATTTAGCTATGTCTGGGTCTCCAGCAAACAGGACCTGCTGCTGTCAGGTCTTTGAAGTTCTTTGCATCCTACCACGTTCTCTGCAACGTTCATAAAAGCAGCTTTGTAGCTCTCATTTTGTAGCAGTAGGGCCAATTACATTGCATATTTCCATGAGCTTTCCACCTCTTTTCTTGGCATTGTGTAGAGTTGTTTTTAAATACAAATCTGTACATGTTATATGCTTGGCTTTTTATTTTTAGAACCTGAATTATCCTGAACAGAAAGTTGTAACTGTTGGACAGTTCAAAATCGGGCTGATTCATGGCCATCAGGTTATTCCTTGGGGAGATATGGCCAGCCTGGCACTGCTACAAAGGCAGTTTGATGTGGACATCCTAATTTCAGGACACACACACAAATTTGAGGCATTCGAACACGAAAACAAGTTCTATATCAATCCAGGATCAGCTACAGGAGCTTATCATGCCTTAGAGAAGTAAGTGAAGTATGGGAAGTACCTGTGCGTGTGTGGGGTTCTTCTTGATAAAAAAACTGAACTACAGAACTCATTGTGAAGGTTAATGTTTACATTCTAAATGTCAGGGAGAGGAAGGGTTGATAGTACTTGCTAAATCTGCTTGACAGAAACAGATGAGTGTGAAATATGTAAAGCTTCTTATCTGATGTACTGTGCTTACAAAATTTGTATTCATTTTTCTTAGAATGATTTCTGTTAACTAATGGTGAAATACTGCTGAGGTGATTATATAGGCACAACTAATAGGATTTTTTTTCCTCTCTTTCCAGCAACATCATTCCTTCATTTGTGCTGATGGATATCCAGGCTTCTACAGTAGTTACATATGTCTATCAACTCATCGGAGATGATGTGAAAGTAGAAAGAATCGAGTACAAAAAATCTTAAAAATGTCTTTGCTTGTCTGGTATTTTTACCATCTCATTCTGAACTGCAAGTTACTACAATACTTGATTGCTAGTTTACAGTACTACACTTGCTCGCTAACAGCTTAACAATGTAGCTTATTGGTAATAACTTCAAAACAACGTTGTGTTTGCTTTTCTCTGTATGAATTGATTTGTAAAATACTCCATTAAAATAACTGTTTAAATACTGTTCCTTAATGTTGTAATAAACTCCACTTCGTAGAAAAACTAAGCTTTATGAACTGTTGTTGGAAAAAATGCAACAGTTGTAGTTGCTTTTAAAATGCCTGATGCCTAATTTGGTGACTGACTTCTAAAGGATACGTGTAAAGGGCTTGAACAATAAGATTGAGGGCTCTGGGGTCATGTGGTGTTTGCTTCAGAATCCAGTTGATATTTAATATTCTCAATTTCACATACCCAATTAAGTTAAAAGAATAAAATGGATTGATAGAGTCTGAAAATATTACAAGTAACTCATAGCTTACAGTAGTAATTTTACTGTAGAAGGTTTAGCAAGTCTTTTTATAATCAAAGCCGTTTCAAATACCACTGTGCTTTAATGAACGATGGTCTCATTAAATCTATAAACAGTGAAGAGAGGCTTTTCTTTATGGCTTTATATCTGACACTACATGTATACGCCCTTTGCTCGATATACAAAGGTTTTAAATACCATAATTCCATGTGGCACTCGCACTACTACTAAAGACTAAACCCTTAGTTGTTGAAGAAGACAGGAGCTTTCAGCTCTCCTATTCTCCTGACTGCAGGGAATGGAATGTATTTTAACAGCTCCCATTTCTCATGACTGCTAACTTTCCAATAAAAATACAGTTTCATCTTTTTGTCTTCTACAGAAGAACATTTAGAATGGTGGCCTGTTCCCTTAGCAGATGTTGGTCTTTGTATTGCAACTTTTTTCAGTGCGGTAGCTGTGCAAAAAGCTGTGCAGTATTTTTCATGAAAGTTTGAGTTAAACTTACGGTTTTCTGTAGAACT